TGCATCATCGCTCACATTAAAGTGTGTAATAAAAATCCACCCCAACACGCACAGCATGCAGTCAGCTTCCAATTCTTACACACACGCACACACACACAGTCTACGGCACGTACACAGTCTCCTGCTCTTCACATTCTGTTTATCAGCCCTCGTCGAGCAGCTGCCCGAAGCTGTGAGTAAGTCCAGCAAAAGCGCTTGCTTCACCCACTGAGATCAAAATACACACCCTAACCTCCTGCTTGCTCACAGCTACAGCACATGAAAATAACAAGCAGGTATTAATATTTTCATGTCGTCCTCCAAAGATCAGTCATTACACGTTCCAAACCTTTGATGCCTGTAATTATACATAGATTAAAGAAAAAAAAAAAGTCCTTCTTTTTAAAAATGTTTGGTGAAATGCTAAATGTGGAAAGAGCAGGAGTGGTTCTTGTTATCACCCCACGGCCGCTGACAGTGGGGGAGCAGCTGCATTAAAGCTTTCGGGCTAAAAGAGCAAGCAGGCGAAGAGGTGTGGGTGTGTGGATACGAGCAGAGTTTAAATAGAATACAGTTTGTGTCTCTCAGGTTTTATTTTTAAGTACAAATGCAGCAGCACCCCAATAGAAATGAAAGGCAAGAAGAATTTGTCCTTTAACTTTCCTCCGTTATTGTTTTCTTTTCCCCTGTGGGGCAACCCTCACCTTTTAGACTGCAAGAAGAAATCCACCAGAAGGAAGAAGCTGAGAACAATCTGTCTGCCTTCAGAGCTGTATGTCTTATTTATTTATTTATTATTTGATCTTCAGTTTAACTTTTTAAATAAAACTCTGTTTCCGCCTCATCTTTTTTGTAAAGCAGATTCTTAGTCATTTGCCTTTGCCTGAATACATTCTCTTGCTGTGTGCTTGTTTCCAGGATGTTGACAGTGCCACTCTGGCCAGGCTGGACCTGGAGAGGCGCATCGAGAGCCTGCAAGAAGAGATTGCCTTCCTCAAGAAAATCCATGAAGAGGTTTGAAACTCTTCTAAATTTTTAACGTACAGAGGCATTGCTTTGGCTCTATGATCGTTTAAAGAGTCTCTCACCCACACTGATGTTAAATCACATGCACTAACACATGCATATAAATATGTGCATATGCACATATTTTGGCAATAGCCAAAAAAAAAAAAAACAAACAAAAAAAACACTTTTGCACATTGCCTTACCGAGAAGAAAGGACTGGATGATCCACAAGCTCAGCTCAGTTTCAGTGCACAGCTGAGGATCCATCTTGTCATTTTGTCTTTTTTGTCTCAACTTTGACCTCCCAGAAATGCTGAAGTGCTGACTGGTTCAAAGGAGCATGTCAGCTGTTGTGGAAATAGCTGAAGTGTGTGTGCTTGTATTCGTGGCAACAAATGGATAGCTATTTTAAACTATTTGATTAAACCAAACGACAGCTGAATGCAACTTAAGCTTGTAAAATTATATATTTTTACCAAGAATAAAGGGATTGCATTTGCTGCTACTAAAATTTATGCTTTTAGTACTTTCTTCCAGAGCACATAAAATGAAGGATTTATTAGTGTCTAGATATTTTATTTCTAATGTCAGTTCAGACAGGAAGTGCGTTATTACACAAATTTAAGAAAGTGCAATTACACTACATTGTTACACTGAACTTGTAATTTTTTTATACAACTGTTTCTGAGGCCTTTAATTCTTTAACGAGGTAGAAATATTTGTAAGATGATTACAGTTAAAAATGTAACTTGTTTATTGGATTCTTTTAACGAAACAATTTTAAAACAATTAGTTTTCTTTCTCTCTAATTGGTTTTTGTGGTTATGACCAATAAGTGTGTTTATCAGTTGAACTTTTATTATATGGGTTATTGTGTGTGTGGCTTCCTACCATTTTTGTGGCATGTAACTTTTGCCCTATTAGTTGGGAAAATAAAAATAAATGACTATAATCTCCTAATATATCAAATAAGATGCAGAGCTAGAAAAACATCTTGATGTGTACTTTCAAAATATTCTGACTATTATTTTGTAAGGCTTTGAAGGGTTAAGCTGCTTTCTGTTTCTCTCTTAAACATCCATAAATCTCTTTCTTTTTGTTACATCATTTTAGTAAGTTCATGTTTACTCATAATGAATCTCTTCTTTCCATGAACACCTTGCAGGAGATCCGAGAGCTGCAGAACCAGATGCAAGACACTCAGGTCCAGATCCAGATGGACATGTCTAAGCCCGATCTGACCGCTGCTCTCAGGGACATCCGCATGCAGTATGAAGCCATCGCTGCAAAGAACATTGCAGAGGCTGAAGACTGGTACAAGTCCAAGGTAGATTAGAAGCCATTCATGAGTAAAGTTTATTTTCTTCTGTTGCTAAAATGCTTAAACACTCACCTGGTGTCTCCACGAGGTGTCCGATCTGAACCAAGCTGTGAACAAGAACAACGACGTTCTGCGCCAGGCCAAACAGGAGACCATGGAGTACAGGCACCAGATCCAGTCCTACACCTGTGAAATCGACTCTCTCAAGGGCACTGTCAGTATTTATTTAACTCACTGAATTCCTGTTATTTGTAAACTGTGCAGCTTGAATTTTTTTATTCTGCTGTCAGTCCAGTTTAAACCTGACTTCACCTCCTTGCTATCCTTTCAGAATGAGTCTCTGCTGCGCCAGATGAGAGAAATGGAGGAGAGGATGGGCCAGGAAGCCTCTGGCTACCAGGATACCATTGCACAGCTGCAGGAAGACATTGCCAAGATGAAGGTAATAACCTTTAGCATTTCACATGAGGCATGCATTGTGACAGCAGATAATAAAAGCAACAGCTATAAGATACAAGAAGTGGGATTTTAGAAATACACAACCCATCTTTACCGGTTCATTTCAGTATTTCTAGTGACAGTGTGATTTTTGTTGGCAGGGAAACTTTAATTTTAGGAGTCAATAAGACTTTCAATTAAATATTTTTAATGTTTTGATCTAAAGGATGATATGGCTCGCCACCTGAGGGAGTACCAGGACCTCCTCAATGTGAAGATGGCTCTTGATATTGAAATTGCCACCTATCGCAAGCTGCTGGAGGGAGAGGAGAGCAGGTTGGTCGGCTATACACGCCATGTAGAAGGATGATAACAAGACCTAATTTTACTATTATTTTCTCTCTTTCTTTCCATTGCAGGATCACTACCACTATGCCTGTCCAGTCTGCTTATTCTTCCATTGGATTCAGAGGTAACAGGAATAGTAACATGTCTTTTTTTCAGCACATAAATACTTGGTAAATCCATTTTGCATTCCAAATGAGTCAATAAGCATGATGATAACGTTTAATTATAGCCTGTGACTGAATATGGTAGACGCTATTTTCAGCTTATTATGTATCATGTACCTGCAGTAACACTTTCTGACCACTGGGTGGAGACGTTAGACGAGACAAAATACCTCACAGGGCTTTGGTTCCGCAGTTAAGCAAGCCAGACTTAGATGATTATGTAACTCTGTCTTTTCCTTTAGTCTTCAAATGTGTCTAATTTTACATGTTAAGCTATTATTGTGAACAAATATTTAAAATAGAAATGTAAAACTGGAAAACAATAAGCAGCTTCAAAACCTCTTTTCTGATTCTCTCCCTAAAGTAGAAGACTAGCTTCCTCAATCAATAGTAAACAACACCAGTGCCTTTAAACTGAATTGATCTTGTGTTACTGTAAACAAAGTTAATTTCCAAGCTAATTTGGTGAATGCATTCTTACAGAGACCAGTCCTGAATCCCAGCGCGGATCGGAGGTTCACTCCAAGAAAACTGTTCTTATCAAGACTATTGAGACCCGCGATGGAGAGGTTTGAGCTCACACACATCCACGTGTCGACAACACAAACAAACCAATCGCATGCAAACACAAGCTGCATTACTCACGTGGGTGAAAATACACATTGTAATCATTGTTTTTAAGAATTTTTAAATTTGTAAATATAACATCTTTACTGTTTTTATACTTTGTAGCAAGATTTGAAAGTAATACAAGGTGCAATATACCAGACCACCTCAATCTAGGCATCCCAGTGGGAATTATGCCATTTAAAATGTATGAAGTGAGAAAATGATTCCATTTGTGAGTGGATTTGACAGCTCTGCTTCCACTTCTATGTGTCTAAGGGTGAACCACTGAAAAGGTGATATTTTTAAGGGCTACAACATCATTCATTTTTGCAAATTCCTACTGAACAAACACAATGGGATGTGCTAGCCCTTAGAAACACATGGTAAAATTTTAAGAATGTAGAGCCAATAGGTGTTAAAAGGATTCAGCAGTAATTACCATGACACAATGTTAGAAAAGACTGTAAATTGGCACACTTATGTGGTAACAGATCATGTTTAATATATGACATTCCTAGATGAAATATTCCATGAGCCAGGGTGCTAGTGCCGAGTGTGTAAGTTTAATTTCATTGTTCCAACTAAACTTTTCGCAGCTGCTCACTTGCTTCTATAGATTTGCTATAAGCATGACAGCGACACTGAAATGACGTGGAAAGTCTTTGTTTCTCCTCTGGAAGATGTTGTAGATTTAGGCACTTTTTTTTTGAAACTCTCTGACACTCTGTTCTTCTTTGAACTGTTAGCTTCACTGGCCTGCACAGCACTTCACTCCAACCAATATCTGTACAATTTATATTAACCTACTTAGCGATTTGTCTGCATTAATTTACTGGTTCTTTTACTTGAATTATCATTGACATTAATTGCTTTTATTTCTTCTGTCCCTTAAGGTTGTCAGCGAGTCAACACAGCATCAACAGGACATCATGTAAAGAGACAACATGAAATGAAACATAATAAAACATGAAGAAATATTTCAATTGTTTCCTACCATTACTATAAGAACAGATAAGCTGAGCCGATGTTTATAGGCAGAATTAATAATGCAAGCTTCAAGCTATGAACATAATTTCAGTCGATTGTATTCATCATAAAATAGATGCAGGCAGGTTGCCTTTAGCCTGGTTTTGAATGAATAGCATTCCAGGATTTTAAACATTTTTTCTTTTCTTTTTTTAGCATTACTTTATATTTCGGAAAAGCATTCGACTTTGCTATTTCTCATCTCTGCATTTCCATTTTTAACAAGCTGTTATGGTTCAGCATAATAAGGGAGGTTTCTGAGCTTCAAGACGGATCAGCGAGCCCCTAAGCACTGTGGTCAAACATAATACTGAAAGGAGATATTTTCACTGTGCATATTCCATTATTTGTTTTAGTATGAACGTAGGATCGGTTAGGGGCAATTGTTGTTGCAGATTTAATGAATGTGTCAGGTTGGATTTAAAGAACATATATATTTTAAAAAAAAGTATTGAACTAAGAGGGAACTCAGTCATGTTTAAAGGTCGAACTTAGTAGCATGTGTTTGCTTATGAATGAGAAGGTAAAAATGGTTTGATGTTTCACTCCAAATAAACCTCAGAGGAGATGTCCATAACTGTGTGGTTTTAAATTGTTTTCATTTTAAAACCTAATAACAAAACATGTTGGTTTTGGTCCTTTTTTTTTTTTTTCTTTTTTTGTTGTCTGAGACTGCATACACACTCTTGAACAACAGGACAGTGGGGTCATCATGCTGTGGGAAAGTTTTTCACCTCTAAGGGAAGAAAAACTAGTCAGAGTTGGTGGAAAAGTTGATTTACTTAATTATATGAGAACAAAACTACCTAAAGCTGAAAAAACTTGAGACTAGGTTTGGTCTTAAATTAAATAAAATATGTCAAAGTGTATTGTAGTAATGTGAGATCTGAAAAAGTTCAGAAGGACACCTTTTCAAAGTACCATATCGCTGATCATTAGCATTTCTTAAATAACATGCACATCTTTGTATTGACTCCTTTATGAACTGTAATTATACAAGCTTTGTCACTCAAGCGTGGCACTGCTACTTCAACATTTAATTCACTTAATGTGAGGGAGAGAAATTGAAACAATCAGTGCCCTAACAGATGCAGGAGTGAGGGAAATGTGAACAATGGCCGGGTAATGAGTTGTCCCTGGTCACACTTTGTTTCCAGCTGAAAGCAGATTAGAAAGTAACAAGACTTGCAGTCTGTGTCGTTTGTCTCTGAAACCACTGGAGTGAAAATGTCAACAGAGATGAAAAAAGGCCACGGCTGTGAGTGTTGAAGACAGAATAGAAACAGACAATAAACGAGCATTCGATGAAGAACAGGAGAGAAAGAAAGAGAGAGAGAGATGGTGTTGCAGGCTGAAAAGAAGAGAAATGACAACGGCAAACTGAATGAAAAGGTTATCTGGACAGAAAAAGATGCGAGAAGAAAAATTAGACAGAAGAAACTGCACAGACTGGAGCTCAAAAAGAAAGAATATGATGGCTACTACAATAATTAGTGTGAGTTGCATTACACAGAATATTCTGCAGTCATTTTTTGCAGCTTATGTCTAAAAACGCCCCACTCATTATGTAGCAGGTCAACAGCAAAGGGCAACTTATTTCTACTGTACCTTCTGCTTCCTGTAATGTCAGCTTACTTTATGATTTCTTCCTACATATTGCTTCCAGTATTCTAATTCCAAAGGAGAGCATTGGTTTCTAACCTCTGTCCTAATTCGTTATTTGCATACTGTGGAAGTCTTTAATTTTGTACCCAGGAATATGTTTTTGGAAAGATTCCAAAACATGTCACAGTAATTGCTAATCTGTGCTTTAAACAGGCATGCAGCTGGAATGGCTTTGAGGAAAAGACGATTCAAAGCCAAATTTAAATTTCCAAGTTTAAAATTTGTCGGCTGAATTCCATCATCACAGGCTCAACCAGCAGAATGAGAAACATATTTACACAAGGTCAAAAAACAAAAAAAAAACATTCAGCAGGATCACAGCATAACAGGTCTACTCCATTAAAAGTATTCAGCTGCAGAAATGAAACACAACAAAATGTTAAAAAACATTAAAACCGAGTCAAATATTTGCACATTAAGATTATTTACAAGTCAGTATCTACAGTCAAAATATTCTCACAATATCTAGTACAATATTCAGTGTAGCTGAATATTGTACTATATGAAAAAATAAAAGACAAAGCAATGTACATAAAATAATTATTAGCCCACCCCACCAATTACAAGCAAGAAAGGAGCCAATGATTAGCATTTACATATGATAACATACACCACCACTACAGTAAAAACACAACCAGGACATAAAAAAAGAGGACTGAGGTACGAGCAAAAATAAAGTTACACTATCACAGACATTACGGTGAAAGACCATCAGAGTAATACCATAAAGTAGAACAGGAGGTGGTTTAAATTAAAGAGAAATAGTTCAGAATTGGTTTAAAGTAGTTCTTGTTAGGAAGTTGCAGTTGTCTGCTGTGGGTAATAAATTACCCACAGCATCTTCGCATCGTCATTTAGTTATACATGAAAATCAGTTGCTTGATGAGGCTGAAGCTAAAGTGTAATCTGAGGGGAGCCCAGACCAAAGTGGATTTGTACCACATTAAAAACATTCCAGTTTCGAAACCTTCAAAGTGGTTTATGCAAGCAGCTTTTGATCATGTTTTGAACTGTCACTCTGTTTTAGCCGGGCTGCTTGTTTTCACAGCTGATGGAAATGGGAGGTGTCACAGTGATGCTCCTGTACAAAACATGCACCGCGAACTGCACATATACAGCATCTTGTCAGATTAACCACCTACTAGAAAAGTGAGTCAGTGTAAAAATCAATAAAAACATTTTCTAAACTACCGAAAATAGTTTTACCTTTTGACCAGAAATGCTTTACATATTTAACCTTCAGCATGTTTAATGCAGGAACTTTGCTGATGGTGCACCACATCCTACCTCCTGTTCCGGTGAAAATAACCACCGATGTCTTTATAAGTAATCACAAACCTGATGACAGTTATAGCGTTAATAAAATAGCACCCACATAAACCACCATGATGGTTTTGAGATTGGAGGTCTGCTTCGGTCATGGCCTCTCTCAGACTGGCCATTAGCTTCAGCCTCTGGGATCAACTAATCAGGATTTATGCTACTGGAGGTACGATGTCAACTGCTTGTAACAGAACCTTACTTTAAATATTCTGAAGCATCCATCTAGTAACAATACATGTCCTTTCAAAGGTTTTTACTTGGACAGCGTAAATATACAGAGATAAAGAGGTGTTTATGCACCCTTGGTCCAAAAAAGCTGGAAATCTGGGGTTTCCGCATGGCAACAATGACACAAACACAATGGATACAGGTTTTACATGAGTTTTGTCATGCAATAATGGAGTATAACGTAATTAATTGTGCCCCTGTAAGAAAGAACTGCAAAATCTGCAACAGTCAAACACTATTAAATCAGTGCGTGAATGTTTAACTGTTGCGCCGCTTTGTTCTGTTCACATTTCAAACCATGGAATCCAACATTTTTAGGGATCAAGTTTAATCCATTTCTTATTTTTGCATTATATGGCAGTATCATTTGTCATAACTCATTGTAATATTTCCTTAAGAAGGAATTGTGCGTGTGTAAAAACATCTCAGCTTCTGTAAGGCGGAAATAAAATAATGTTAAACACGGCGTCCTTATGTAAAACACCGAAATCCACCTCTCCTTTCTGGACGGTGGCTCAACAGCTTGATTGCAAGAAATACATAAGTTAAAAATAGAGTACCGTGTAAAGTTATGTTGACACAAACACACACATAGAGAAAGTCTAAAAGACAGGTCCAGCAGTAAACATTAGAGGGTGCCATTTGCAAATGCTTTCATCTTCTTACCTCTTTTCAATGAGCTAATCTTTCTTTAAGGCCTCCTCTTCATTACATAACATGTCATGAAAAACCTTCAGAAGTTAATCCTTTCAAGCGAAGCAGTATGTGGTAAAACAGGAGGGGGAAGAGTATTGTACGGCATGCGCGTCTGACATTTAAATGAATCCCCCTCGTGTTTGCTAATAATTGGGCCAGCCCATCAGCTGTAGGGCTCACGTGTCCACTCAAACACAGAAGCAGACCATTTGGGACCAAACATGGAGGAAGGTCAGTGATGAGATGTGAACACATCTGCCTTGGAGAATGGCACAATACGCAGAAAGCAATACTAATTTAGAAGAGGAATTAACAACAACAACAACAACAACAACAAAAAAAACCCTCTTTGGTTTGAACCGCTCAGTTCGATTCACACCTACAATTCACCCCCTCTTAAAAAACCCACAGGATTTGCCAAGCCACTTGCTATTTTCTGTTTTAACAAGCTGTGATGGGAAAAAAAAAAAATAACCCTAGTGAAATAAATATCTTACTTTACACAGACACCTCCAAGTGGGGAAAAAAAAAAGAACAGTAAGAGCTTTTAGATCAGTGTTTGCATTGTACCTTCAGTTTGTTTTAGCGTTTAACACCGAGCACTCCCCTCAGAACCCTTGAAGTGAAGTGTGTCATCCTTTAACTGCCTTGAAGGTAGAGATACTGAATACAGATGAAGAAAAAACAAAAAAAAAACGTTGCAATTCCCCGATACTCTAAAATACACACAATTCCATTTCAGCTGCGACGTTACAGAGTATGACAAATATACCCTCTTCCCTTCCCAGAACAGGTCACACTGAAAAATTACTGAAACGGTTTGTGTGATAACATATGAAACAGCTCCATTATCCTTCGGCGCCTCGATGGAAAGCAAAAGCTTCACTGGACGCTAAATGAAGAATCTGATGGCCATCAATTTGTGCTCCCTCCAAAACCAAAGTCTTTGTTCATTATCATTCTAAAAAAAAATTAATAAAAATTGTCGGCAAAAACACCAAACAAGACGGAACCATTTTGGGTTACAAATCATCAGAACATGGTAATCTTCAGTTGGGTAAACTAACAGTTGACTGGGCTGTTTCAAGTCTTTTACTTCTGTTGCTGTCCAAGAGTTTTGAAGGTGCCAGTGACAGTGAATGTGTTTAGATCCGAACTGCTGGTCCACTGGGGACTGTGAGAGGCACTTGAGAGCCGCAGTCATAGTCCAGTTGAGCCATCCGAGAGCGACTCATCCGAGTGTGGGAGTAAGCCCGTCTGTCTGTCTGTCTGTCTCTGAAACTCCTGATGTAGCTCTGCGGGTGGACAGAAGGTTAGAAAAAAGTGAACAAACACCCTTTTTCCTTCTCCTCAACTGTATCTGTGATATGTCACAGATAATGTTTGATTAATGGGCCATATTTTACTCATTAGATCACACTAAGTGTACTAATCTGTTGACTTCAAATTGTTTGGACTGGATATCCGGTTTGGACTGATATCAGAGTAAAGGGGTCATAACACAAACATGTGCCATACTTTGCAGGTTGTATTTGTAAATGTTTAAAAGCACGAATCCTCTACATTACAATTACGTTAGAATTTTGTGCTAAACTAAAAAGTGGAAGAGTTGAAACGGTATGAATACTTTTTCAAGACGCTGTAAATCTACTTAAGTGAAAGCAGGACTGTAATGTAGGATCTCAGTAAAAATCACAACTTTTGTGGGATCATTGATTCCAAAGAACAAAAAGACAAATGTCAATAAAAAAAAAAAAAAAATATATATATATATATATATATATATATATATATATATATATATATATATATATATATATATATATTTTCTTCCAGTTTAAGAATGAGAATAAGAATATTACCGGAGACAGCACATCTCCATCAAAGCGTCTTTTGGGGTTGGGTTTGCGGTGGTAGCCGGGTTCCGTCTGCGAAGGAGGAGGAGGGACCTTAGGTTGCTGAGAGCTCTGGGTTTGGTGATGAGCGTGGGACACCACTGGGTGGTGGTACTGCTGGTGATGGTGGCTGTGATGGGTATGAGCCTTCTGCTTGGGGGCTGTCTTCTGGTTTTGACGCTTTTTCTTCTTCTTGTTCTCCTTCTCCTTTTTCAGCTTTTCCTCTCTTTGTCGGATTCGCATGAGCTGAACCCGCCGCTGCTGCCGACTCAGTACCACTGGAGGTCAAAACGAACAGCAGGTTGATTATGTGGGGAAGGAAAGGAGAAAGAGAACAATAGGTAATCAAACGGGAGGGCCTGTTTTGTATTAGGAAAAACCAGTGAGGAACAATGAACTTGATAAGAGAGGGCAGATTAAGACATGAGTTTGCTTGTGTCACTTTGCGGTACTATATGTGGGTTTTTTTTTATAATGCAGAGCAACTTGAAAAAATGAAAATGTAAGAAAAATGCAGCCAACTTTTGCCTTTTTTTTTGACATTTCTAATTTGCAAGGCGACTAACTTGCCATGCTGAGTCTACTTGCACCAAGCTGCTCAGTTTCCTGACATATTGTGCGTGGGTGAGTGTGAGCTTGCTATTTTAACACGCTTTTTTAGCAGAGGATGTCCAAAATCCACGCCGTCTTATGGTCCATTATTTAAACTAATGAATATACTTAGCTTTGATTCATTCATTTTACATCAACATAAATGCTGCTTCTGTTGGAGATATTTGTCCATTTATATTGTGTCTTTTATGAGTTTCCTCACATTGCACACAGACAAAGGCGCCGTGTGTCCATGTGTGTGGAAATGTTTGTGTGTGGACGTTATGCGGTCTATTATTGTTCCTTTGTGCGCGTGAACATGAGGCACCATCTGCCAGGGAAACTGAGTAATCATACCCCCTCCTTTTCTATTTCTTAGTTCACACTTTGCCAAGCCTCTCTGCGCACATGCTTCTGTGTGTCACAGGGCCGGCGTACTCGTCAACTTATCTCGTAAGGTCCAACGTAAGATTTTTTTTTTTTTTTTTATTGTAACAGACAAATGAAAATGAGATACAAATAAAAACTTGACCTAATTCACATTCGTTCACATTGTGTTGCGGTCGCCGTTCTGACAGAAAACATGATTTCCTTCACTGTTTCACTTGGGTGCCCCTGCTTGCCCATTGTGCCCCGTTTCGTGCCCTTCCCCCCACACACCTGCTCCCTCATTACTCTGTCCCTTTTCAGTCATTCCATTTCTCTTTTGCACTATAGTTCTTGTCAACATTAAATGGCACTTTTAGCAACCTAACGCATTTTTATAGCTAATTATATTTCGGAAAACACAAGCATGGATACTTTTACTTTGAATCTGACAGTTGTAAAGTATTATATACATATTTTTTTATCACCATTAAGTTTTTTTTATATGATTGATTAATTTATAATATTTGACTTAAATGGATCCACACCTATTGAATTTATCTTTAGAGAAATGCTCAAACATGCTGCTTCCTCCTGCTACATTGAGGGGAAATCAAAATACATCAACTGTGATATGAAGAACAATTACTAGAGACTTGTATAAGTCTGGTTAATCCTTGGGTACAATTTCCAGTTGCCAGAAGATACCACAACCATTGTATTTTAGCATAAGCAGAAGAGTAATGTTTAGTCATCATATTAAATTATAAAGAGGATGTGATCATTTTCTCACAGATAAATATGTATTTTCAGTGCAAAATGTGCATGGATACTGGTTGAAGCTGGTAAGAATTGTCATTATTCAGAGAGAAATTAGTCATGCACTGAGATGCTTTGGCAGGCTACTACGAGAGTAGGAAGTTCATAAAAGCATTATAAAGTGCCAAATTACATTCTCCAAATGCACACAAGAATAAAGAATCTAATTTCCGGAAACATATTCTCCACTCTGATGAAACAAAAACTAAAATGTTTGGCCACAACGACTATGACGGCATTTGAAGAAAAAGGGGGGAAACTTGCCAGCCTGAGGGCTCTAACCAAAGAATTCGGCAAAAATGAAGTGAAACAGTAAATGTTTAGTCTGACAGGGAAAGAAAAGAAAACGTTTGTGTCTTTCTACAGAGTGTACGGAAATAGCAAATAAAACAGCAAATACACAGTGCTACCTTTGTGTTTAAGGCTGTTTTGAATTGAAAAGAAACCACTGCTGTTTTTTTTTTTTTTTTTGGGGTTCTATCCCCTATATAGAATTGGGTTTTTTTTTTTTTTTTTTTTTCAAAATAACACTAAGAGCTTCCTCCAACTCTTTGCCCACGTCCTCTGTGTGGTAGCCATGGCAGCCTGCAGTTTAATCCTATTATTTGAGCCAATGTGTAACTTATTCTATGAAACTTTGCAGCTGTGAATGCCAGCAGAGATCAAATGAAGTGTGTGTTTCCATCATAGACATGTGTGAGTGAGCAAAATACTTTGCACCGATGCGTTCTGTGTGTCCCTCCAGTCCCTGCTTTTGATTTTATACAGGAGTTATAAAGCGTGTGTATGCTGCATCTAGAGATTCGCTTTGGGCGCGATTTGACCATCTGTGTTGTGGTTGCTTTCAGAATAGATTAAGGCTGTTTCTGTCAATAACAGATTCTGGTGAAAACATTGTTGCTGGTATATTCAGACTCTCCATTGCAAGACAACAAACACACACCTACACACACAGAACCCTGTCCGCAGGGTGGCTCTAATTCCTGAAGCGATGACAATTCTTCTTTAAAGTTACAATTTACCATAGAAGCTTGTAGTGGCCGTGGTCGGATCAATACTGAAGCGTCTGTCTAACACATCCATCCCCACAACTCACATTATTAGTACAGAAGCTAAATTGAACTTTTGGTTTATTTCTTAAGCTAATTCATGTTCATCAGCATATTTATGAGAACATATGACCATTTATGTTACATATCATAAAAATATTCCCACGGGACAAACATCAAAGATGATGTTTTCTGGGACATGTTTCGCTACACTTTTCGAACGGTACAATCTTGAGTTTCCCACATAATGTCCTAAAAATAAGGCCTTATGCACGCTTGGAAATTATTCTCCTAATTTCTTACCAATTTCTTGTAGTCATCAAGCTATAATTCTTTATAAGTGCAGGGAAAAATGAAAGCAGCAGAAAAAAAAAAAGAAACAAAAAGCTTCACACTTGACATAAACAATAGTTTGTGTTAGCTAAGGTGCCTGGTAAGGGCTTATGGCGCTTCATTCTCTTCATATGTTTTCATGTTACTGCCACAAACTACAGTGTGCATTATGTTTTAATACAGTTTTGGCTATGAAGCTTCTTCATTTGTTTTCTACAGTTTGACTTGAGCGTTTCAAATTTATGTCTTTTACTGTTTTCCTGTTAATCATTTTTTATTCTCCAGCCACTGTGAGAACTGTTTCTTTTTTATTTCAGTTTTCATTTTCATCTGTGAAATGTTATAAAAAGAAATGAAATTACTTTCAAATCCATGCTGAGCTTAAATAACCTGTCTCCTGTCAATGCTTTGAAGTCAGTTCTGCATATAACCGGATGAAAAGATGCATTTACATGTCTCTGTCCTCTCTGTCCCTGGAACTGTGAATCAGCTTATGATCTGCTGCTACCTGTGGTGAGGTGACACTGTTTAAAATCACACCCATGTTGTTGTTTTTTTCCTTAAAGAATTTTGCAGCTATAGTTGACTTCACTGAGTTAATCTTCTTTTTTTAATTTTAAGAAAACCATCCTGTTTTTTTTTTTGTTTGTTTGACTTCTTTTGCAGCGTACTATGTAACATCAATGTCATCCTGCAAGATGAGCTTCAAAGAGTCTATCACATGAAGAGAAACTGAGAGGCACAAAAGGTTGACTGGTTTATTTTGAATGTTTTCCTCTGGAGAAGGTTAAACTGTTAGAGTCTGACAATTTTCAGAGGGGGCTGAAAGCTTTTCTAAAAGTGTCCATGTGCACTTAGATTGATTTAGAAAAAAATATATATTAAATGAACATATATGTATATATTTATTTCTCTTTGTTCTGCTCCCATCTCATAGCAAGACCAAGAATTTTCCTCATCGGATGGAGGAGGATTCAAATCAAAATATTCTGTGTGGTAATTCAGGAGGATATGGTTACATATTGTAAATCTCTGATTGCTATTTTTCTGCTTCATGGGGATTTGATTAAGAAGGCAATGAAGAATGATTTGATTTTGTGCAACACACTGATTGGTATGTTAATGCTTAAATAATTTTGTCCTACAATAATTGAGTGCATCAATTATTGTAGGTTACAAAAGAAACAATAACAAAATAAAAATTCAAAATTGGGAAATATTGCTTTTTTTTCCCTTTTTGTTTTTTTTTTTTTGAAGAGAACAAAGGTTTTCCAAGTCGGGTCAACAGAGTTGTTCGCTGAAGCAAACCTCTCGTGGTTTACAATGGGAACTTTCTTCTAACACAGTTTTTGCGTGCATTTCTATTTAAGGCAGTGTCAAATGAATTCTTTCCGGATTAGATGCTTACCCTCTGTGTGAGAAAATCCCTCTGCAGTAACTTTCCATTGGATCAGAACTCCAAGGAGGGTCAGGACAGGCCACACCCCTAAGATGACCCAGGTGAACCAGCAGACAGGCTTCTTTGGTGCCACCTGTAATTAACATCAGTAGAGTTTTTTTTGTTTGTTTTTTTTTTACATTTGCTTTATTAGATGTAGTGAATTTCCAGAGCGTAACTTTGTATGATATTAGCAGCTTTCTGTTGGGAAACACTGTTTTATTTCTAAGCATATAATAACTAAAAGTTGTATTTTAGCTGTTTGTCAGCATTTCACTGTAGTAAAGCACAAGTTGTTGGCCCACTGCTGTAGACACCTTTATTTCAGTGCATTCATAACTACTTGAACTCAGTTTATTCATATAGTGCCTTTTCATAATTAAGGTAATCTCAAGGCACTTAACAAATTACTTTGGCAGACTGAGAGGTCTACAAATCCAGATCTCTGTTCTGAATTAGGTAGAAAAAAAAATCTCTGATCTAGCTTGACACCCTTAACTGTTATATAATGAAGACCGTAGAAGACCACGTTGATCAACAGTTATTTTTGAGCGAAAAATAACTTGATTAATTCACAAAAGTTTGACCTAGAAATCAAATGGTATTGGCAGACATGTAAATATGGCAGCTTTCCTCTGTAAATTTGCAAACCTGTCAATCTGACTTTCACTCAAATGTTAACATGTCATGAATTTTGATCAGAAACTCTGCCTCAAGGTGAATTCAACTCTCGCACTCACAAACACACGCTTGCATGCAGCTGTCCTAACCTTGAGTCTCTCATAGATGTAGTGCACCAAGGCAAACAGCTCTATAAAGTAATCCACTGTGACAGTGATGATGGCAGAGCCAAATGTTGCCGTGGAGAAGGTGACGAAGCACCGTTGCCACTGAAGAGTGAGGACTGCAAACAATGTCCCAGAGCCCAGAAGGATTCCCAGAGGAACCCACACTGTTTTGGGGTGATAGAATTCCTCCATAACCTGGAAAAAGGAAATGTCTTTTAGTAGTTTCTCTTTTCTACGTTAGCTCGTAAAAGGATGTTCAACCGTCTCCATTACAAAAGAAAATCAACACTGATAAAACATCCAAAGTTTTTCTTTGTCTAAGATTCAAACAAGAGCCTAAAGGCAGCTTTGAGCAAGTGGGAGGGTTGCTAATATAGACAGTTATCATTCATTGTATTTGAAATATCCACACAAAAAAAAACTATGAACAAAAGGAAGGGATTTACCACAAGTGATGCAACTCCAACCAGCAGGCCCAGCAGCAGGCCTACCATAAAAAGGCCCACGCTGCGGACCAACATGGTCACCAGGCCACACAGTGTCCCAATGCCCAGGCCAATACCGACAGACGCCTCTACGCTCAGCTGAGTGTCCATCACTCTCTCCTTGTAGCACAGCATGAAGATGACCACAGAGCCAAACATCAGGCCTGTTAGAAACAACACTGCCTTGAAGCACCGATAGCCTGAAGGGGGAAAACAGAGCACTGTGAGGTTGTGAGGCAGACACATGCATTAGACATTTGGCAGCTGGATGGGTGCAAACACTTATTAATATTATATAATAGTGGTCAATGAATTATTGTTTAAAAGAAGTAATGATTAATACATCAAAACCATTATGTGTGATCATATTCACACAGCGTTAAGACTAATACACAATAAGAAAATTAAGGGTCTCACTATTAATATTGTCAAAGAAAATGCATATTAATGGTCAATATTTCAAAAACAGGTAGGTGAAAAACTGTGTTTTTTGCTTTCTTTTTCTTTGTTTGAGATACATATTTTTTGAAGGTTTCAGCATTTATCATCGGAACATCTGGAAAAGTTTATTTATTCATAAAAAAAAAAAAAAAAACTGATGACGATAACAACCATTACAAAGGAAAACAGGACGGAGGATGCATGACTGTATCCACCCAGAAAGACAAGGACTATTTATTTAGAAGAGTACGGAGCCCTTCAGGGGACATGGGGAATTTTTTTTCTTTTGCGTTCCCTCGCAAAACTTTTGCGTTCCCTCGCAATAATCTACTGATCAGTTCATGCGGCATAATTGATACTGTAAGGCTTCTTTAAGGTGGCCACCATACTTTCTGCTTTAATACAAGGTTATGTAAGGTTTTTCCATGAATGTTAATATCTCGTTGTGAAATATCAGACGTTTTATATCTTTTTTCTTTAGTATAGAAAGGCACAACAAACCTATGATATAAACAGAAACTTTCCGTAAGTAGGAAAGAAATAAAAATACATCCAAACTATTTGGACTATTTCTGAGTTATTATCGCGGGGTAATCAGTCATCTGATTGTGTCTCTGTTGTGTTCGTAGTCTGAATGGTTTAAAGGGCTGCTTTCAGTGCCGTTCCATCTTAGCCTTAAGAGACATAAACATGCAGTAAATTAATTGATTTTCAATCAGTTTTTTGCACCAAAGAGTTAATAATAATGAACACGTTTTATTAATTTAAAACACAGCAAACTAATGGTGGTAGACGGCCGCACTGGATTAACTCGGGGAATCTCATCTGTACGTGTATCAATCAACTCCAAACCTCTTCTTTGTTCTGTCACAATTATCGATTTATTTAATTTTGATTATCATGCTCCAAACTTTGCGAGGACTGACCACCCAGCTCAACCCCTTCCTCATACACACATGTCTTCCCATTCACTTCATGACAGTCACGCCCACATCGACACGCCCACCACCCAGGTGTCAAAGCCGCTGCTTCTGTCATACCAATAATTACTTATTTCATTCATATGGCTCTCACAGAGCCTCAGTGAAAACGTGTTTATTATTATTAAGTCTTTGGTGCAGAAAACTGATTGAAAATTGATTTATTTACTGCATGTTTATGTCTGTTAAGGCTTAGATGGAACAGCACAGAAAGCAGCCCTCTAAACCATTCAGATGAACACAATAGAGACACAATCAGATGACTGATTACCCCGCGATAATAACTCAGAAATAGTCCATGGAAAAACCTTACATACGCTTGTATTAAAGCAGAAAGTACGGCGTGAGAAAGGCTTACAGTATTCAATTATGCCGCATGAACTGATCAGTAGATTATTGGGAGGGGACGCAAAAGTTTTGCGAGGGAACGCAAAAGAAAAAAAAAAAATTACCCATGTCCCCTGGAGGGCTCCTTAGTAAAATATGCTAACCTTTGCATTTTGAAAGGTCATCTACATTCATCCATTAAGATGTTTACTGAAAACAACAGCTGCTATCCTCATTTTCTGTTTACCATCATTTACTCATGCCTTTTCTATCTGTTCTTTTTATGTATTTTATTCAAATGAAAGCTTACAAAATTCTCCAAAGCATTAAAAGCTGAGCTTATCGACCATTCAAATCTCCTTTGCCTTTGCTTTTGTGTTTATTAATGTTTGCCTTTTCGTTATTTTTTTTCCTGAATCTTTTTCTTTCTCTGACCGGCCTTGGTCTCGAGGGTACCCAACCTCGGATTATTATCTTTGTTTAATCAGGCATTGCACTGCTGAGCAGCACAATACTCTTTCTCTTATCTAAGCCAATGTCCAAGCTTCTCCCCTGTGACCATAGCTCATTTAATTGACATGCTTCTTGTAGCTTTTTTTTCCCCCTCCCTTGTATACAGTTCTCTGAGGGATTTCAGATATCTTTTATCTGGGATGTTTGTTGAAGCTACTGTGGCTTTTTACAGCTGTTTGCGCTACATTACGCCTGGAGATATACAAATCATAACTGAAGCATCTACTGCCATTTTAAGCATTTGTTTGATCGCTGGCTGCAAACTAATTCCCAACATGCCATGATTTCTATTAATCAACAAATGAATTTTAATGTCACTTCCTATTTCCTGCTAATGATTTCAGTGACTCATCTTTTCCTCTCCCTTTCTCAGTCGCTCATCCCTCCAACTGTTCCACTGCTCTTCTCCTCTGCTCGTCCCTCCCTCTCTATCTTTGTTCCTTGCTTCTTTCCTCTCTCTTCCTCCAGCCATTAGCCAATCCCATCTGTTCATCCCAGCTTAATCAGCTCATGTCCTTCCTCACATTATCTCCCGTTAGCTTTGCCTTATCAGTCCTATTTCGGCAAAACCACTCCTGATTTATACCACAACTGTGTCTGGGTGAACTAAATAAATGCAAACATTTTTATCTTCCCTCCGGTCTAAGATCAGCACCCACTACTTCAGAGATGCAAGCAATCTGAAATAATCCCTCCTCTGACTGATCACCCTTACTAATGTGCCGCTGTTCAACCCTAACTGAGGAACTTCTTAGGCGTAAACAATTTGCCGTCTTCTAAATCTAAACTGCAGCTTATTTTTTTATATATATATATAATATTGTGTTCAGCTAAGGCATAAAGAAACATGAAACCAGGTTATTGAAGTTGAATGTGTAAAATATATTTTAATTTGATCCTGCTATTATTTTTAATACCAAACTTTGCCCAGTAAAAGTGCTTTTCTTTTAATAAAGACCCTCTTTGAGCTGACGTTAAATACTTTATTTAAAGTTTTATTTTTATATAGATATAGTCCATCTCAACATTAAAGGATCTAAAACTTCTGCCTTGATAAAACCGGATCGTAGTGCTGAGTTTGGCATTTTGTCACAGTATGACATGCACCATCAAGGCTCTATTCTCAGGCTGCTATACTTATTACATTTATCTATATCCCAGTAAATTAAATGTGTGCTTCAGTGAAGCTTGTCGGTCAGATTAAATGTAACTTTTGAAAATAATCACCTTTAAGCAAGTATTTAACATGCTACTTAAGACCACATTTTTTGTACTAATTGGTTTAGTTATCTGATCTGGTGCACTATTTTAATAAATTAAATTTTTTTTTTTTTTAATTTTCACTGAAATTAACAGACAAAGAGGCGTGAAACAGACTTTTAAATAATATTCTAATTCATTCAGATGTAACTGTATGCTCCATGTCAGACTGTGGAGTACTTCAACATCTCTTATTTTATGGTGATCCATTTTTGCACTCTAATATTTCTGATCCATAACTTGATCAAATTCACTGAGTCAGGCTCTTTTCAATCAATGTGTAGATTGGTTAGAATTTTTTCCAACTTAATCCTAAAAAAACGAGTTTTTTGGTCTTGGTCCCAAAAAACTAAAGACAGAGCAGCACTCATCCTACCCCTATCCCTAAAAGAGGCTAAAACCATAGACCGTGGAAAAATCCCAGGTGTTACCACTCAGACAATAATTCTAACATTGATTTTATTACTATTTTTGAAATCTTTCCCTAGAATAAAGAGCTTCTTGTTGTTGTTTTGTGAGGCACCAAATGGTGTTGGGACCTAATACATTTCAGAGGTGCTTGTCATGTATGAGCTTAAGAACCTTCTAGTCACAAGAGACGTTTTCTCTGTTGTCCCAGGATCAAAACAAACCAAGGAAGGGTGAAATTAAGTTTATATGATCTTCTGTTCTGGAACCAGCTCATCTTCCTTGTTGTTTCTCATGCGTTTTTCTTCACCTTTACTCCTTTATTTTCCTCTCAAGCGCTTTGAATTAACTTGTATAGATTGTGCCAGACGAATAAAACTCCCTCGCTTTTTATGATTTACCTGTGGACAGACTTCACATTTTCTTCTCCTCTGGTGTTAAAACTCAATAAAACATTTCCTGTTTCATTCTTTCTAGAAATGTATGTATATATAGAAATGTGTTTGCTAAGTTTTTGAGCAGCCTACCTATAATGTAACATCTGACAATAGGTTTCGCCTGGGTTTTATTGAATCTTCATGCTGTCTACACGCTTCAGTGCATCAACCTGCTGAAAAAGCTCAACACATCAGTATTCATCCAAGGACACCACCGAGTGGTTGTCTTCCAAAGGCCTTGGCTGTAGTTTTTTTTGTGGGGAAATGAAAAATGCAATCAAAACATAAACAACAACAAAAAATTATATATAATGCTTTGCTAGCCCTATTTCAAAACCGAAAGCTGTGTTTTGAGATGCTTTATATGCTTTTAGAGAAAAACTTAGTAGCACCAACTAGATGTATTGTCAAAAAAAAAAAATGATCAGGATGATTGTCAGCTCAACTCTATGAAAAGATTAATTATCAGTCTGACGAACAGGGGTGGGATAGCAGTGGTGTTTGGTGCTAGAACCAAGTTTTTCTCCTGGTGGAAGCACAAAGAACTGCTATTTATACAACCACTTAAAACCTGGAACTGATTTTTTTGGACACAATGCCAAAAGGGATGTTTTCTAACCAGCCTTTAAGGCCTTCAAAAAAACAGTTGTATTTATATTGACAATACATTTCTGGCAGGTGCGCTCTGTGTACATTAGATATACAAGTGATGCAAGCCTTTTCAGATCATTTGTAAAAAAAAAAAAAAAAAAAAAAAACAAAAACATAAAGACTGTACACTTTCCCTTCAAATGTACAGTTATTCACTACTTTGAGTTGATTCATCACATGGGGTATGAATGCTTCCCACTCTATTTTCCTGACCTGTGGTTATTTTGACACCTCTCACAATTTCTAATTTATCAGTTGACCAATCACAGGAGACTCTGTCTCACATGAGTGAAGCTATTTCAAACAAAATGTAGGAGCTGATGGACTGGAAGCATCTGCTCTTGTGTATTGTAACTGGGAATATTATGGGTTGTTCATGAACTGCTCTTGCTTGACAGTGAAAACTGCTGGGTGGTGGCTCAGGTCAAGCATGTTAAATGTGTGGTTCAGGTGGCGTGTGGTCACACTTTGCGTCTAACTATAACCACTGATAAAGAAGCATCAATCCCTTGAAAAGACAGAAAGCAAAGATGAACAGTGACTTATAAAAGTATTCACACCATTTCAAAATTTACACATTTTGTAAAGTCAGAGCCACAAATTTGAAAGCATAAATCATGTTCAAATTTGTTAAACATAAAATATATTTTTAAGGGTAGTTGAGTAAATGGGGAAGAGAAAATAAATCAACACCTCACTTGTTAGATTATGATTAATAAAAACCTTTAGGAAAATGTGTCTTTTCCCACCTCTTTAAAATAATGTTGTCTTTGTCTACCACATAGATACATACATTCACGCTGGTGGGAGTAACAGGGCAACAATGGAAAAGTTCAGAGTTATGCAGTGCATTTGAAAGGCACCGTATGATATTATTGTTCCTTTGGAAATATTTTTTGTAATTGTTTATTAATTACTCCATTGTGTGCTGACCCCAACATTTTCTACTGATGATCTAATCAATTCTATTTTCAGCCTAATCACAAACTAACCCTCAAGAAAACGTTTTGTGTCTTAGTGCCTGAATTAAACTAATCCTCTACGACAAATGTATCTACATTTATAGCATTTAAAAAATATATATAAACTAACTGGTTTCAGGTTATTGATATCTATTTAACACACAGCACGGCTAAATTTCATTTTAAGTCATTCTGTTTTCACGGCTTCACTCACCAAAGAAGCAGTAGATGATTCCAAAGAGGCAGCACATGGAGCAGACCACTGAGGGCACAATCTCATACCTCCTCTCGATCTCCTGGTCACACTTTAGGCCCATCTCGGCTAAACCCAGAAGCTGGCTGGTGGAAGTCATTGTGGCTCCTCTTGAGAGGGGGTGTGGGGGACGGTTTAAGGGTAGCAAGGAAGGCAGGGAGGGGTGAGAGACACAGGGATTCCTGGCTCAGTGGACCTCACCCATGGAGACGTGTTTGCCTACAAACAGGAGGCGTGTAGAAAGGGGTGATGGAGAGGGGGCACTGGAAATGAATGAGGGCATGAAAGAAAGAGAGGAGGAGCATTATTGATTGCTCTTCTAAGTACTCAGCTGTGAGTGCTGACATTGCAGTAATGATGTGCCATAATTTTGAAAAACGAAACAACCGAGGAGAGAAGCCGGCGTAAGTACCACTTAAGATGAAATGCAATGCAGCCACCATTGCTCACCAATATGTACATAAACATGCTGTAACAAATAGTCGGGGAGGATGGTGCAGCACAAATAATAGTTGCTATAGAAAGCTCAACCGAATGCATTTGCATAAATTAGCATTTCGTTGGAAATTTGTGGCACAAGTACAAAATACCTCGTGGGTTTTTACATATGTCTTATAAAGCAGCGGTTCTCAAAGACTTAAAAGGCGTCGTCTACTCTGACAACTCACTTGAAACAACCCAGCAGAAAACAAATACGATGCATTTATAGGAGTTGATCAGAGCTGCTTTGTTTAAATGTTCAAAGCATTGTTATGGCTGTGTGAGACTTTTACTTTTTTGCGGTTCAGCACAATTATGTTGGAACATTTATATTCCTCCGTGACAACAATGCACTTCCATGACGATACGCTTCTGTAAAACTAACATTAATATAAATATTAATTCTTTTAAAAGTATTTTTAAATACTTTTAATTCCTAGCTTACTGACAGTAGTTCTGCATGTACAAGCACTGTTTGATGTAATTGCAATTTCATTCAGATCAACAAACTTAGATGGGAATCCCTGTTCTGTCTTATTATGTCTTTCAGACAAACAGTTGCTCATTGCTGACTTCCTGACATCAAGAAACGCATGTTGTGTTGTTTAATACATCCAGTATCCTTGTTTGTCTTATCTGGGTATCTATAATAAAAAAGTCTAATTGGCATACCTCTGCTCTGATGGTTGTCGTTAAAAATGCACAAGAGCTAATCATCAGCATAAAAAAAAACATAAATCCTGCACAAACAGAATAAATGGATTTCAGTCATTAACATACAATAAAAATGTAAAAAAAAAAAAAAAAAAGGTTTAAAACATTCTTCTTTTGTAATTGTACAATGATGAATGGACTTTAAAAATATGTTTGCTAAATGTTTTAAAGATTTAGTAATGTCCCACATGCTCAGCAGGAAAATGCTCTAAAAAACATCTTAAAACACATTTTCAATGTAGATGCAGTGCAGTGTGTGATTCATGTACCACAGACTGTTGCTGCCAGCCAAACACCCACACACAGCTCCGCATTCATTCATGTACCAAATCTCAGTGGTTACATTTCTAGCTGAGACACAAATTAAGACCTTCTAAGTCAATAGGCTCGCTCAGCGGTAGATACATGTGGATAAAAGCATCAGTGTTTTATTATAAGCACCAACTCATTTACCACTCACCATACTTGACCTGTAGCCCACCTGGTTTAGAGATGTACTTTCATTGACAGAAAGGCTTGACAGGCTTTATCAGCCCTTTCCTGAGCTATTGTCTGCTTAAGAAAACTGTATATTGAATAACAATAATCTGGCATATACAATTACATAACATTTAGATCTTGGTAGAGGTTAAGGAAAAGACTGGTATTCTGAAGCATGTTGGGTAACAGAGACTTGTGTGTTAAATGTCAAGAGTTGTTTCTCTGTATCCGTTACCTTCAAAAGGTTGTCTTATTCAGGTCAGTGAACTCTTCATGTCTGACAACAGAGAACAGACCCACATTTTTTTATTCTTTCTATTTCACACCTGTCTGGATCATTCAAAAATAGAAATTGCACATGGTGAACAGACACTTTGACTGTGCTTTCAAGTGGATTTGTACACCTAGAACTCTTTCACATTTTTGTCATATCCGAAGGACGTTTTAAAATGTGGCGCGCATGTATATATTTACAAAACCTTAGACACCTTTCGCTCCACTTAGAGCAAGTTTTTTTTTTTTTTTTTTTTTTTTTAGGTTTGTTTTTGAAAACTGTTCGTAACGATGAAATTAAATAATTGCCCTTCCTTCAACACAAAACAGTTCAAGCTTATTCAGATTGGATGAAGATCGACTGTGAACTGCAACGTTTCAATTTTGGCAGCAGTTATTATTTGGATTTTGGTCTGGACTCCAACGGGGTCATTTTAACATGTGAATACTTTGCCAAGAACTACCATCCTCAAACCTTTGGGTGTGTTCCTCTGCTACCACACCTGGAGCCAATGAATGGCTAATTACCAGGCCTCTACAGAGCTGAATGACATGCTAAGGGAATTTGGCCATTTCATTCAGGTCTACATCCTGCATCCAAAAGTTGCAGGATAGTAGCTCCTGAGGACCGGAGGCCCGTTTTATTGTCACTCAGGTTTGAATGTTTAGAGATGTTGAAAGGTGAACTTTTGGTCTGCAACCAAGTCTTTGTTCAGCCAGATGGTAAAATGAGCAATTCTCTGTGAAATGTTCAAAAGTTGGGATAAAGGTTTCAAACCTAACACTGCTTAGTCACCAGTCTACAGTCTACAGTGTTCCCTGGTGTTCATGAACCTTTTAATTTCCAATGCTCTCTAACAGCGAGGCTGCCACAGAACAACTGTGTTTATACTGGAGGAGGTGAAATAACACATGTAGAGTCTATTCATTAGCTCGGTAACTTCTGCTAGAAGTTGGTTGAACTTAATTTTACTTCCAGGTGTCAAAGGAAATTGAAACTTTATTTGTAATTGTAATTTTTTGAAAATCACAAAACCACAATTTGTCATGTTCCATTTAAACATGACAAAGTATAGAATAACTGAAGGGGTGTGAATACTTTTGTAAATTGTTACATGTGACTAGACAGGAAAGATAAAGTTATTCAGCAGCGATGAAGCTAAAAATGAAAGGCACATACACATACTGTCAATATTCTCTGTTTTAAAGCAAACTATAACATAAAGTAGTTTTTAAATAAGTACAGCATGTTAAGAAGAAAGAAAAAAAAAATCAAATAATCATATTAATGATTTTACAAGCACTGGAAAAGAGCAAAAAAACATTTGCAATTAATAATTGTAAAACAGATGTGTGCAAAGTGAAAGATGTATTGTTCCACCTACTTTGCAAAATGGGTTTCATTATACTCTGCATTTAGGACAAAAGAAAATAGCAAAAACCTCAAAAAAAATAAATAAACTGTAGTAAGAATGTACTTAAAAAAAAAAAAAAAGGTCAGCCAAAACATTTTTTCTAGCAAAAAATAGAAAGCAAAACAAACAGAGATTCTGGTGAGGCTGGGAAACTAAACAGCTAAAAATTAAAAATCTCTACCAAAGCTTTAATTCAGCTGCTTGTTAAGTCACACTAGGGAAAACGTGGATGTTTTTCAGAACCGAGATTTGCAGTTCATAATTGAAAGAAAATCTTTTTAGTTTGTATTTTAAAGAGGTTATATGCAAAGAAAAAATATGCACCACAAGGATGGGGATGGGGAATGCTTATTACCAGTGGTAGGAGAGATTCTATTCTTACTTTACACATGAATGAAGTAAGAATTTACTTAATTGTTAAGCTTTCATAAGTTCATTTTGCTGTCTTTTTAATTATAAACAGATCTGCACCTACATCAAGAGGTTTCTTGCAATTACAAGCACAATACAGTACTGCTAAATAGCAGAATATTTGAACCATTTTAGGTCAGCTCTAGCATTGACTTCTTACAGATTGCAGTATTGAAGAGTTTACATTATGCCAGACTTGCACATTTCTTTCTTTATGCTGTTTCTTCATGTACGTTTGTTGCATTCAAATTTGGTAGCAGATCTAAAGTTCTTCCCAGAGTAAAGTGATAAATTCTTGGAAAATGTGTGCTGTTGCATGGATACCATGCCTTTGCTAACAAGCATGCTAACGTTAGAACTGTTCACACTCTCAGTCAAATGTAAAGAGTCATCATCTTTTAAACACACTTGTAACTTTAATGACTGGAAGTTAAAATTTAACTAAATCTTCAATTTAAAAATCCAAGACATTGTTTGATGGGGCAGATGAATACTGTATTTGTCACCTTGTTTAAACTAATACATTTTGTTCATGTTAATATCCACAAAATCCTTTGTCCATCCGGAAAGCGGTCATAAATTCAAGAGTAAACTTCCAGAGTCTACATTTGACCTTTCAAGCTGAATGTTGCGTCACATTTTGCAGTGACCCCAGCAGCGCCCCAAGCTTACAGCCACATAGTTGTGGTACAGTTAGGTAAAAGCCAACCAGTCAGGTTAGAAGAACAAGGAATGGCATATTATGCAACAACGTCACGTAGTGACTGTTGCTATAACAACTAGCAGAAAGAGTAAGACCTTGCAAATGGGTCATAGGACTCGTCTCCATGGGAATGTACAGAGCCAATTCATGATGGCCTCCTTTGAGACTCCTAGCTGTAGATAGGCCTGACCTCTGACCCTATTCAGCTGCTGGCTTTTTAGAATTCACTCACATGGTGGGGCGTCTTCACTGAAAGCGCTTGATTTACCACTCATGAGTAGTGTAGCCTAATACTACTCTTTCTTGCTGAAGTGAACCAGCCACAAAATATATGCTGCGCTCACATAGATTAAATCAAATACATTAATTTGTATAATTCACCATTTACAGATTCTAACCTAAGATCACGGTCCTCACTAAGTTAAAAAATGTAATTCTACTGTAATTTCTGCTGAAACAAAGTCTAAATCAAAAATTAACATCATGTGTAAGTTAGCATATCAGCAGCATCATTACACAGCAATCTGGAATCTGCAGTCTGGTTGTTTTTTATCTATTTGCTTCTAATCTCTTTCTTTATTGCAACGTGTAAATGGCCAAATTAACAATAAGGCTGGTCTAAATTACATACGCTGATGCTACTGAAAATGATAAGTGGTTTTACACTTGAAAAGTGAGAAGTGTGACATGCATTCATTTTAATCACCCACCTAAGATTTAAGTAAATGAAATCCAGTTTAGCTGATCGCCTTCAGCCGCCATCTAATTAGTAGGAGGAGCTGCAGAG